AGCTGAGGCACATCCTTTTGCTGTTGTGGTGAGCTGTAATACCTGCAGAGGTTTTGTGAGAGAGGGGCCAGGCTACAGCCTTCTCAGCCTGTTCAGCATCAGGTTGCACGTTTGGTTTACATCAAAACGAGGGCTGCCTGAATGGGGTCATTACACTGAGTGCATTTGTGATTAGCACTACTCCTGTCAGCCTCTTCCAGCAAAGTGTGCTACAACAGTCACAGTGAGCAACTCTGCACAAATAAGCACTTCTACCTTTCTCAGATCTCTGACTCTCTTGCTATTGATGGTCACTCCCATCTGAATGCCCTTCTCCTCCTCCATTGCTGCCACAGGCTGCAACTGCTTCAGCTGTCACCTGTGCCTGGCATGGGATGGGCACGCATATCTGCTCAGCAGGTTTTGGTAAAGAGAGGTAAAGAATAGCTGCACAGAGGCAGCTCTTCAGGGGTGGTATTGGGAAATACTCATTCAGTATTAAAGAATACCACATGAAAATGTAAGGGAGGTCAGCAGTAGGGATCAGGTAAGCAAGGCTGATACTGAAAAAGAAAGTATGTTTGGAGTGCCAGGTAACTGGATAATTAGAGCATATTTTATGGAAAGATTAGTGTACCACTGTAAATATCTGTGATTTGTCTTAAGCTGACTTTTCTTTAGAAGCTACTTAAATCTTAGGCTTTAGTAACTTATTTATCAGTATGGAATGCTTTTTGATATCCATTACTCGCAACGCCTGTTGTGATTCTATATTTGCTCAGTCATTCGTTTAGAAAGTCATCATTAAAAAAATCAGAGGCTCGAATGCACAGTTAAATACTTTTTCAAGCACAGGCAAAATAACAGATGCATACACTACCCCGTATACCAAAAGTCTACTTTAGTAAATTTTGTGTGCAATAGGCTACCTGTAGTTAATCCAGAGTTTCTATAGCACAGGCAGTGGATTGCTGGCATCTGCCACTGGCCAGACCTTTTGGGCAAGTGGCAGTTCATGCCTGAGGAGAGCTGCCTGTTGTTTACAGGTTCGTGTTCAGGTGTGAACAATTACTAAAAACTTTTGCTTTAAACAAGGGGTTTTCTAAAGCTTCCTGCTACATTTGCCACAACTCAGATACTGCAAGCTGTGAACCAGATTGTGTGACTCCTATGTAGGTCAAATAGTAGCTTGCCTACACAGTAGGGTTGTCTCTCAGAGTGTAGCTCAAGATAAATATAAAATGAGCTGTCTCGTCTGCACAGTGCAGGGCAAGGATGCATCATACACCCCCTCTGGCCTGTGACCCAAACATACCTGAAAAATTTCTCAGTGTAAGAATCTTATGGTGCTCTGTGTTCACAGCCTGGATTGTTAAGGTTCGTTTCCCATGTTTTTTCTTCCTTTTGCATAGGATGCCTATGAATGTACATGGAAGAAGAAAAAGCAAAAATTCCTGTTTGTGAAATGCTGCTTTTTGTCCAGTTTAACAAGAAGTTCCTCCTCTTGTCATAAAAATTACTATCTATCTAGGCCGTATTTATTATTTTTCATAGCTAAATGAGTTCTGCAGTTAGAGAATTATTGTACAGTGGGAGGAAGTTACATTTCTTAAGCCAAGTATAATTATTCACTTTTCTGGTGCTTTAAAAAAAACCTTATTGTCAAGAAAGTCAAATGGTAATTTGGTAATCTTTAATGGTTGCTCTACACAAATGTAAATGGCATGGGGAAAAACAAGGAAAATCAGCTCCCATATTTTTCATTCTTTGATTAGAGCATGCATGGTAGTTCTTAACAAAGACGAGAAGAAACCTCCTCAAGACAGGACATAAAATTCTCTATGCAGATAACCATTCCTTTCCCCAGACCCTGGCACATGCCCTGGAAATGTCACTCACAAGCAACTGTGCCATGTTACCATCCAAAAACTTTTGTTCCATTTTGAGGTAATCAAATTTATGACTCTATATTTTCATTTCACATTCATCTTCCTTAGTTTCATTAAGGTTTTGATTTTTTTGAGATCTTCTTCACTTAAATTTTTCAGTGACATTTTCATTACTGTATTAATTGCTCTTTAAAACGCAGGATGAAGAAACGCTTCCTTTGCCTTAAGAGCTCCTGCCCTGAAGGGTTTTACCTTAACAGATACCTCAAATGATGCTTAGCTGAAGGTTTCCATGATGACAAGCCAAGGAGCAACACTCAGATTTTGATTCTTACAATGTAGATTTTTTTTTTCTGTTTCCGCTCTGAGACTACTCAAAAAAAAAAAAAAAAAAAAAGTCTCTAATGACAGCAGCTCTCAAACGGAAGAGAAAGTCTTTTCCCTTATCTAGATGTCACACCACTTCATACTAAATCTGTCACTACCACATCTTTGCTGCCCCTTATGCCTCCTATGAAGGATTATAGGCTTAATGATTAATAGGAAGAAGAGCAGTTTCTCCTCAGAGTAAGGCAGTAAAACCAGGCTCAGTGTAGAAGGTGCTTCTGAAACGGGTTTTTTTGTCTCCAAACTTACTGGGGCTGTTATACAAGAAAGGAGACAGGTGGGGTTTTACTACATAGGTATATGCATTTCAAGGGGATGTATCACACCTAAGCTGAGAGGATGACAAAGTGACAGGCTGACATTTAAACAGGTTTCTTAGATAATTCAGTTTGCACAACAAGCATCATAGAGTCACTGTCTGCCCTCTTGCTATAACTTTAAATCTACTGTTCAGGTTGAGTCAAAATTGAACTTAAATTTATAAAAGCTTAATGAAAACAGGCAGCAGAGGATATCTGTGTTTTCCCAGCGAGGGAAAGGAGGAGCCCTGCTCTGTCGTGTATTAGGGAATCCCCATGGGGGAAAGCTCTTACAACATCTTCAGAAGCAGGAAAGGCTTTGATCAGTCCTCTGAGAAGCCAACTGCAAGACGAAACACCTTGGGAAGGCAGGGTTCATTACTGTGCTGTAGACACATCTGTGGATGGCTTCATTGCAGCCCGTCCTTCACTGTTCCCTGCGGGCCTCAGCCGGGCAGCATCCGCAGGAGCCGGCTCCGCGCACGGTCAGGTCCCTGCGTTCCCCACTCTGTGCTCCTGTTCGTGGGGAGAGGCTGGCGTGCCTAATGCTTCGTTTGGCTCTCCGGCTAGATGGTGATCTCTAAAAGAGTGGCATTTAACAAAAGCCATTAGTGCCCCAGGCTTCCTCCCTATCTCTGCATGAGAAACTGCGTAGGCCTAAAGGCAATCTCTTAATTCACAGGGAGGGGACACACTGCAGGCACTCCTGTTGTGAGGACACTCGCTCATGCAGATGCAATCCTGGCAGCTTCTGGTGTGCAGTGAGGACCCTTTCATCTTTACTTTTAATAGAAGGGATAAAGTGGAACAGTAATAATGGGACTGATAAATGAAAGGAAAACTGTAACCACATAATTATGTCAGAATCAACTAACAGCCATGAAAAGCTGATTAAACCACATTATGCAGATAGATGTAACAGAGTACTATTTACAAGTCCTCTGCACTGGCATGCCTGGCAATTAAGAGAGCTGTATTGGCAGCACACGGTGAAAACAGTGATAATGTATAGTTAAAAATATTTGGAGACAAATAGAGCCCAGACTACGGGGACAGCCTAGAGCTGAATACAAGAGCATCCTCAAAGATACCAGAACCCAGGGGAAAAATTAAAGATTATATTCCAAATAGATTATTAAGCTAGGATGTTGGTCATATTTATATTTAGCATTAAAATTAATTTACTGGCTTATCCAGAAATGAAAGGCTGCAGTGCAGTATGTGTGTTTTTTCCAACTCTCCACAAATTTCAGGTTGTGCAGGCTAACAGATTAAAGAAGCTTTCAGAAATATTCTGAGTTAGGTAGTAAGAATATTAGGTCTTGTTCCTGTGGTTGCAACTATTTGGCAAATATTTAGGAACAAGATAGCTCAGTGTTGTGTATTCTTAGGTATGTGGTATTTCCAGGTTGGGGACATGAAGAATGTGTCACCTATCAAATTTCCTTCTCACTGGAGTATTGGTGTTTGTTGTTTCTGCTCACCTACCACAGAAGGAGTCAAGGTTCAATCTTATCCTTCACTTTACCTCTGCCCACTCCTGCAGAGTGGTTCTCATCTGCAGTCAGGGAGAATTGCACTGGAACAAGCTCTGAGATATCAGTACTGGTTCAGAGTTCCCATAGGCTTTACAGAAAGATTCGCTTTTACCAGAAACTAGTCCGTGTGACTGTGGAGATCTCGTCTAAGGGAATAATACCAGTGGGAATATTTTGGAATGAAAGGGTAAGCATGCTGGAGAGTTCATATTACCCTTATTTTCTTCATCATACCAGGCAGACTTTGCAGGCATGGTATTGAGAGAGTTTGCCTGCAGAAAACCAGCACGAATCCTTTAAATATCTATCCTACATATGGTTTTCCAACAGATACATGCAGATTTTCTTCTTGCTTTATTTTAGAAGATGGCTGAACTATTGTTAAATACAGGTAATGAGAGGTCAATAGCATCCAGACTCACACTGGTCCTTTCTTGAGCTGTTCTAAAGCAAAGGAAGGGAAGAGAGTGAGCATGTGGTTATGCTTTGATTACAAAAGCCAGACAATACATTCAGCATGAAATTCTGGGTATATGAAACCCCTAGGTACTAGGGGTGTACAATTAATGAAATCTCTGCAAAACAAGATTTATGATGATCAGGAGATGTGCTTTTACCTAAATGAAAAGTGGGACTGTGCCCACTCATGTGAAGGCTAAAGAATTTAATTGTACTCTGCTGTCTGTATTTACTTGGACTATTTTTCCTCATAATTCACATGTGAGAATGTTGATGCTTACAGAGTACTTTCTGTGAGAGAAAGGTATTGTTATCTTCCTTTTAACATGTAAAGAAACTGACACCCAGAAAACTGGGGTACCTAAGGTGAGGTTGTTGTGTTCTTGCTGCATACCTCCACAGATCCATCAGCAAAAAAATCACTAATGATCCAACTTTTAATTTCACAGATGAAGGAGCTTGGCGTCATTGTATACAACTGTAGCTGCCTGGTCCTGGATTTGCAAAGGATATTTGCCCTATATAGCTCATTAAGGTACAAGAATAAAATACCTCCGAGTTGGTCTAAGAGACTCTATGGGGTGTATGATACTCAAAATAAACTGACACTGCAGCTGAACGAGACAAAATCTGAAGCTTTTGTGTCGGTAAGTTACAAAATGAGTTCCATCCTCGGGGGAGGGGGGTGTGGGGAGGGAAGGGAAGAAATTTACTTAACCCACAAGATCTTTAGAAGATCTGGAAATTTGAAATATCACAATTTATTTTTTTTTAATTCTGGTTTCTATAAAATGCAGTTTGCTGGGACTTCATCACACTCAAGATGCTGCAGAATTTCATTTGGTCATTATTCAATTCCCCTTTCTCTGTAACATTCAACACTTTACCACTCATGTTAAGAAAATGATACAGAGACCCTTCAAATTAAATTCTTTTATTTGCACTAATAGGTAGAACACAAATGACTTGGGAGTAAATGAACCATTAATCAGACATAGAAAATGATACAGAATAAGGTTGGTATCAGAGCTTGCCTTTTTAACAATGTAATATTTCTAAGGATTCACCCTATTGCAAAGCATTCATACTTCTGTACAAGATCATCTACTTCAGCTTTATTTTTAAATGACATTTTAAAACTTCTACAATTCAAGCACTGACCATGGAAGCACTGTCTGTGCATGTTTTTTTAATGGAAAGAAATGGAGTTCTCCATCTCATCAGTGATGCAGCAAAACAGGAAAAAAGTACCCAGTGAGATAGAGATGATGGAAGATGTGGAGTGTCATTCATTCTGGGAGTAATTACATGAGTGTAAACCACCAAACTTCAAAATCAGGAATATAAATAAAATTGCTGAGAGTAATTTTCCATTCTCTATAAAACAAGGGCAAAACCCCCATTGCTTTATAGTCATTGTTATGTCTAAAACAATACAACACACATAACCCATTATAAAGTTGTACAGCCACTGGCATCAGACGGTGCAGGTGAGTGGTTATACAGGGCAGGGTTCCCTTTCACCTGCTGGATGCCAGGCAATGTTCTGCTGTCCAAGATTTTTCGTACTCCTACAATCAGTGGACAGACAGAACTATTTTGGAGTGAAAATGTGGAAGTGCCTAAGACAGCCAGAATTAATAGTGGTTTTAAAAAATGGACACTTCCATTGATTCTGGAGAATCTTAAGGACTCGCTTAAATAAGAGACAGACTTTTGCTAATGCACTGTGAAATGAAATCCTACTCCTTTCTAAGAAATCTGTAAGAAACAGAGAAATCCTGCTGAAAGTCGATCCTGGACAGGAACACAAAATGGAAAGATGATTAAGGCCCAGTTAAGGAATCTGGGATCCTAGACAAAGGCAGATGGAGAGAGACTCTACATTTTATTTTTCATTTGGCAGAGTGTTCCCTTCCTCTCTGTGATTTTTTCCTTTCCTGTGGGCAAGGAAGCCTTTTCTCTTGGTATTTCACTTCAGAAAACGAAAGGAAGGACTCAGTGGTACTCAGAAGCTCAGATCACTGAGGTCCAACTCGAAGAGCTACCTGAATTTTTATCCATAGCCACTTGGGCTGGTTCTTCCTTCCTTAAAACAGGCTCTTCAATAAATTTCTCACCCACTAGAAAAGTGTCAGTGTTTGCCAGCATGACCCTCTGAAGTTCTGGAGTTGCTTGGGACTGACTTGGTGGACTGTGTGTTAATGTTGCTGTGTGTTCCTGAGTTAATGATCAGAAAGAAGTTCCCAGGAGTCAGGCAGTTCCCCTGCTCCTGTGGCAGTCCTGTCTGGGGCAAAGACAGGCTGCTGCCTCCCTGTGGATTCAGGATAGCACACCCCTGAGCAGTGGCATGGAAAGAGGCTGTTCCCAGCCAGAATAAAGGCCTGTTCCTGGTAGGTGAAGAGGAGGAGCAAGTGGGTACTTGATCAGAACAGCAAGTGCTGCACAACATGGAGACAAGTCTTAAAACAGTTCATGGCTGTGGGGCAGGGATCAGCTGTGCCACAGAGTAAGAAATGGAATGCCAAAGCACAGTGCTACAGTGAGAGTTTTTACTGAGATTTTTTCTTCTAATTATCTTCAAGAAGTCTTTCATTTTCTGATATTTATACCAAATGCATCCGAAAAAGACAAGTGCATAAGAATTTCTTTCTTCAGCTGTTCTAGAACCTAAAAGTTCAAGAAAATAATACAAGTGTTAAGAATAACATCTTGGTGCAATTACCTCCAAAAAGTTTCAGATAATTGAAATAAATTATATTTAATTATTTAACTATATTTAAATCACTTTACACTTTTTTCTTGAGTTGAAATTCTTTTCTTGAAAACATATTTCAATGTTTGTGCTATATAAAACAAGCATAATACACAATCATTAAATTTTTTTGTTATACTTGGGAATCATGGCTTAGTGTTGCTTAGCAACAAATGCATCTTCCAGACTGGCTGATAAAGTGTAAGGGGTTTTGATTTTTTAGTGTTCAGGAATGGATCTGGTGTTGGAGTCTTGAAATCTTACTATGGTTAATTTTCTAGTATTTTCTGTACTTAGTTGTAGTAAATCCTTAAGAACACCAGTCAGTGATAAGAAACCACAGTGACAGTCTCAAATCAAGGAAATTAAGGAAGAATAATAAAACCCCTGGGATCTGGACCCCTGGGTCCCGAAAGGAAAGATAACCATCTGGATGTCGTCTGCAACCCAAGCAAGTAATGGAGATGATACAGTGGCAGGAAAACACCTGTTGCAGCTGGGTTAAAGTGCCTTCCATAACCTCTGTCCCAGGAATGAAGTTGCTGCCTGCAAGCAACTTGAAAATGGGGTTCACTTTTCTCCCCCTACTTGTGCAGCCAAGTAGAAAGTCCTGGGCACATCTGCCACAGACGAGCAATTTCCACTTGCCTTTGACAGCCTCAGATAGAAGGCAGAAAAGCTGCAGTCTGGCCTTGCCAGTTACCAGCTCGGTACTGGTAATTTGTACCTGAAGCTTTATTTTAAAGATAAGTTTCTTGCAAAACTGCAGCGTCTCACTACAACTGACATAAAACATTTAATTCCTGCTCACAAGTGAAGGATCAGGCTCATGTGGCAAGAACATATGAACACTCCATCTAACAGAAACCAGTCCTGGAGTTCTTTGGAACAAAATCCTCTGAAATGTAACTTCAATTACAGCTTCTTTGATGACAGCGGATGTTTTGAAGTCTGTGTCTTCTGCATTTTACCCACAGTTACATCTAAATGGTGAAGCTTTTGAGGGCCAAATAAGCAAGTAGCACACCTTTGTAGCTTTGAGTATTCTAGCAGGATGGCTGAAGGTATTAGGTAATAATCTCTGCTAAAAATAATGGATGCTACTTAGCATCTCAAGAAGACTGAGGGAGAGAGAAAATAAACCAATTATTTTTAATGCTGTATTTGCACTTTTCCTTTCACAGAACTCACCTAAACTCTTCTGCCCCAAGGACAGAGTCCTGGATATTGAAGCTATCTACAGTGTTATTGATGATGCCAAACAGTTTGTGTACATTGCTGTCATGGACTACTTGCCCATTGTTATCGACACCAATGCTAAACGGTGAGTGTCCAAGTCCAGGGCCAGCTGGTTACCATAATGCCAGTAGGGTCTGCTGGAGAAAATGAACCCACAGGAGATTAGTTGCTACTGTGCACCAGTTTCTTGGGGCCCAATTCTGCTCTTATTGAAATCAGTGAGAGTCCTGCCATTGACTTAAATGGGAGCAGAATTGGGACCTAAGAGGACATTTCCAGTTCTGGGTCCTAAGCTTTGGATCTTCTTGTTAAAGGATATCAGAAGTTGTCTAGTCTGCACATGCCTGGGACCCAGGAATATAACAGTCTACTTATACGTGAATCTTATTTCTAACACTATTCTGAGATCACAGCTACTGGCATATTATGAGTATTGTGCAGATAGTCAGCATGACTCTGTGTGTGTGTGTGTGTTAAGAGAGAAATAATGTATTGTGACTTGTATACAGTGTGGGAAATCTCATTATCGTACTGGCATACACATATAAATGAAAATTCCCGATTCAGAATAGATTACATTTGAATGATATCACAATTTGGTTAACTGAGAGGTGCTGAAACCAAACAAAACAACATAATTTTCAAACAGCCAGTTTTTATGGACCATTGAAAAGCACTCATGGGCCCAGCACTGGGGCCAGAGTGTATCAAAATCATCCAGCTAAGGAGGCAAGTATCCACTGGTCCCTCCTACTCTTGATAATGCTCACAATGAATTTAGAATCTAGGAAAGCCTGCTGTTTCATCTATGCATTTCATTTTATCACAGTTAAGCCAAACCAAGCATGTGGTTTTGTACGCTTTTCTATTTAGAGCTGTTCTGTTCAAATTTTTTAAAAAATAATTACAATATGACCGATACCAAGCATAAACTTTTAAGTCTGTGAGAGAATTTTTCCAGTAAACTCATTATGTACAGTGTCTGTCACAGGGAAAGAATCACGGGCAATACTGTAAGAACCTCAGTTTCATATGTGTCCCTCCTATTCTCCTTTATGTTGGAGAACATCTTAGTATGTAGAAGCACTACAGTGTTGTAGTTTATGTTATCTCCTATACTCCTTACTTTATTCTCCTGGTGGAAAAATTCAGAAATCTACTGGATTAGGGAGATCCAGGGAAGCCACCCTGTGAATTCTTCAACGTTTTTCTTTCATCATGGCTTTGTGTTTGAGGCAGTGCCCCAGCTTCTTTTCCCTGCCAGCTCCCAGTTCATGCTTGTAAATTATTTTCTGGCATGATAGAGCTCAGATTTCATTAGCCCAGATGTTTTGATGCTGCTGGAATGTAGGAAACATACATTTTTCTTTAATTCTCCCTGCCCTGACCTGCTGCCACCAAATGTCAGGAATACAAAGCTAATTGCCAGTTGTGAGAATAGCACCATGAAAGCCACCATCCCATTCCTGGCAGAATTTCTGCAATTCTCATCAGGAAAAAACATAGCATGCTCCTTAAGCGACCCATCTCATCTGCTGCTCCTGAAAGATGCAGGCACCCTGCACAGCAGCTCTGTTTGCCAAGGAGGAAATTACAGAAGGCATTCCAGTCCCCAGCCTGCACGGTCCCAATGCATAGGGGTTAAAGAAGGGATGTCAGTCGGGGAGATCCGGAGTTCCGGTTCCCTGACCTGTGCCACCTGGGAAAATCCTGTGTCTGGGCTGGCCAGCAGCGCCCTCTGGCTGCGGCTCTCAGGCACGGGAGCGGCTCTCCCAAATTTTTTAAAGTTTTAAATGTTCTCTGCAAGTATTTTGTTCTTTCTTCATAGGTACTGGCCATATTTAGATGGGAAGATAAGAGAAGCATTAGTTTTACGAAGTATTAAAGTACGACTTCTCATAAGTTTCTCAAGAGACACAGATCCCCTTACTTTTAACTTTGTTTCATCTCTGAAAGCTATTTGCATGGAAGTTCCAAGCTGTAGTTTGAAAGTTGTAAGTATAATCCATATTGCTTTAAAATATAAGATATTGCACTGCCCCTAAAAAAAAGGAATGAAGAAAACATAACAACTGAAATTTTTTTTTCTGTTATTATCAAAGTCTTTAAGTAAATACTGGGAAATGTAAAATATTGAACCTAATTTACTCCTAGTAGTAACAGAATTCAAAAATAAGACAGAAAATATTGGTGCCAAAAGGCAATTGGTGTGGTGGACAGCCTGTGCAAAACATCACATGTGATCTTTCACAGCAAAGCCAACAGAGTGAACTGTAGCAACTGGTTGTATTTATACTGTGAGATGACTGAATCTGACAGCACAAAAACATGATTTTTGTCTGCATTCACGTAATCTTACTGTTGAGCTGTGTAAGCATCTACCTTTGCTTCAGTCAACTGCAAAGTACAAGAAAAATTATTAAAGATTTTACATTAAATTCAGACTACAAACTCAAAATTGTGAAGACCAGAAACACCACCCCTGGTGTCACATTAGACATGCAGTACAGGAAAGTGAGAAATACCATACAAATGTATTAGAGAACAGAATGTATGTTAAATGCTACCTCCAGTGAAGTACAGTTCACTTTTATGAAATTGAGGCACACTGGAAATCAGCCACCTTGGATCTTGGGGTTCTAAATAATCTGCTGAATTATTTTGATTTCCTAAATTGATAGTCCTGTAAATTTTTCTGGCTTTTTGAAAATTGACTACAATTCTAAAAAGGAAGTACTGTTTCTTATACACAAAATATTATGCATATCTAGAAATAGGGTTTTTTGTCAAAATGTATGTTGTTATTCTAAGTTTCCTCAGTAAAAAAGCAGCATAAAGTGTGGTTTTAAGTCAAAAAACCCCATATGTAGTTGACTCTGTTTAAGCCACTTCAATTTTAAGTAGCTTCTAGCTTGTTCCATATTTATCATGAAAATTCTATTTACATAGTCAAAATTTTTTTGTGTGTGGTACCTAATAGTTATATCCATTGCCATCTATCTACAGCAGGTAAAATATTTTGTACAGGATTTATCTTGTCAAGAATTAAATGATGAAAGGAAAAAAATATACTTCTAGACATCTATTCTAGGTAAATAGTCCAGCTAGAGTCTCTGCTGTTAGAAAATACAAAAACAACTTCCAGTCAAAAAGTCAGCTGTAGAGAGCTGTAAAGGTACAGCACTGAGTCAGTTACCTCTGTGCTGTGCATCAAGTTTCCCAGTCTGGGTGAGCCACTGCCTTAAATAAACCTTTGTATGAGTAATAGTCCACAGGTCAGAGTTTGCTGGTATCAATTTGATTTTGGCTGAAAACTGTGCTATAGGCTCCATCTCAATACTCTTTTAATTCAGAAAGCATGTCAGATGAACAACTGCTTTTTAAAGCTGCATTTCTTTTGTATTCCCCTGTTATAGCCAGGATCAAAGTAAAACAAAACTATGCCTTTGTATGGAGGAGAAAGAATAGGTTAACAAGTATAAACTAAATTACCTTTTGAACCATTGAAAACACTCTTTTTCTCTCTTGGTTATGCTTTGGCTATGAGAAAACATAAACTAACCTCAGTACAAAAAATACTGTCTTGCATACATGCACTGTGTGTGTTTATATACAAAACCACTGAAATTTTAAGAGAAACCTGTTACAAGTTCTGATTGAAATTACACTTCAAATTGCTAGGCTGCTGCAATACCTCTGTACGGTTCTGACCAAAAATGCCACACACACCTGTACCACATGACTTCCTATCCCCCTGTTCTGTTCTTTTGGGGATAATATATCCTACAAAGCATACTCAGTAACTTCCTATTTTTAATTTAGCTTTTGATCCTTGTGATATGCCTTTTCTTGATTGTTTTCCTTTTTTTTCTTATCCCTATGGAAAGACCAGTTTGACTTGAAAGTTTCCAGTGAGTGCCAATGGCTTGCTGCAGCTGCAGGGTACACTGGTTTGCCAATGGTCATCCTGGAGAAGGAGATGCAGATGTAATTACTGTGTTAGATGAAAATCTCCTCATTTCTCCTGGTCTCTGACCAGGCTAATGCAAGTTTTGGTATTGCCTAACTGCAATTATAGAGTTAGGGCACAGCAACCCTGTTACACCTGGCATTTTCAGCATCTCAGAGTCCCCTTCACATAAGCATTAATAATTACTGGATTCAACTGAAACTGTTTTGAGAATGCAAACTCAATACAAGTACTCTGAAGAAAATGATCACTGGAAGAACTTCCACCTAGAAAGCTTTGTTTGAGGACTAAGTGCTATAAGTGCACAGCCAAAGGGCAAGGAGTAACCTGCACATCAAACTGCTGCTGAAGCAGGGAGCTCTGTCCTATGCACATGTGGTCATGAAATTAAAGCTTCAATCAGGAAGAGCAGACTCAAGGTGAAGAGCTCACCATTGTGCTTCTTGGGACCTTAATTCCCATATTCTCTAAGTTTTGTGTACTTGACCCTGTAAATGCATCCTGTGTGCACAGATGTCTGATCTGACTCTAAAAGGAGCAGCAGGAAGCGTTCAGCTCTGTTGGGTGCAGTGTTGAACAGAGAGAGGTGTGTGTTTTCAAAGGGCCAACAGAAGTCATGACCTAGAACAAAATTGTCTGTAGACAACTGTTAAACACAAAGGAGTGGCATGGAACAGACATTTATATACAGCCAAGTTATTCTTGAGCCTCCACATGAATCTATTTTTGAGTTGTGCAGGTGTATTCTTGCTCATTTTTGTCTGATACTGATCAGAAAAGGAGTGCATATCTCTCTAAAGTTATAAATAAATAAATATTGCTCATACTTCACTCTCCAGGGTAAAACATTTTTCTTTTGTTGCCTGGATGATTTGATCTCTTCATACTAAATTTAATCCTGAGAAGCTTCTAAGTTTCTGAAATGTCAAGTTTCCTGTTGGAAACTATGTAATGTGTGATTGCAGAGGTATTAATTCAGCTGTTGCTGTGTCTGCCAATCCTGAAGCAGACTTCAAACCCCAATGTCCCTTGAAAAATGAGGAAATGAGTTTAAAGTTCCTGCCTGCTACCATGGAGAGCAGAAAGATGTTTTGGTTTGTTTTTTTTTTTACATTTTATAGTCTTTACTACCTGGCAGTGTATTGCTTTTAGCATGCACTAGCCATATACTTTGTATAGTTCAGAATGCCAAGGCAGGAGTATCACAAGCTATGAGAATTTAATTAGAAATACAATATGCAAAATTTTATTAAAGTTAATGCTTGGCAATAAAAACTCAAGCTGTTCTGTAGCACTAACTCATTTTCAATAAAGATTGGGGAACAGACTGTATTTTTTCTGTCTTACAGAGCAATTCTTATTAACCTGTGCTTCCTTCTATTTTATGGCAGAAATTCTTTGACCTTGAGGAAGAGAGTGCCTGCTTTCTTAAAGAACAGAAAAACACTTCACTTCCCAAACTGAATCGTAACAAATACATGGTGACCGACGGAGCTGCATATATTGGTAAGTAACCACATCTCAAGAAATTTTAGTTTGTATCCAAAAGCCTGAAATAACAACCTTTTGTAGATGAGCAATCTACAGATTATACTTTCTTTTAAGTGAAGATAATAGTTCATCTCCTTGGGAACCTGGATGATGCTTGAACTTAGAGACTCTTCTCATTTAAAACCTTTTCGTCCCCTCTGAATCAGTTTCTCAAGACCAAAATTCTACTTTCAGTGTCTTAAAACAGACTAAAAACATAAATATGACACAATTTATGAAGCAGGTATAATTATTATCATCATGTTCTGTTGTTCTGCAATCCAATAAAGATGGAGTGTTCTCCTTTCCCCATGTCATTACTAAAGCTATGGTCAATCCTGGCAAATACTGTACAGATGCTGTTCATCCTCATCATCCAAAGCCTTATTCCATTTACTGTAATGACATTTCAGACACCCTCCTAACATTAGGTACGTATCTAACCGGTATTTTGGATTAAAGGTGTATTTAAGTAAAATTGCTGTGTTGCACCTCACGAAAGTTCGTTACCAATCAAATGCCCACTGAATGCAGGCTGAAAACTATCTCTTGAAAAATCTGAGTTGTGCATAAGCTTACAGGATCAGAAAACCACTACCGAGTTCAAAAGCAACTCCTGACATTTTAAAAAGCCATCTGATGTGCTGCAGCTGGATGCTTTAGGGATCTTACTGATGCACTGCTGAGGGCTTACCACCCATGATAGCAGAGGCAGTGAGGGAGGGCAAAGGCTGCAATCCAAAACAAAGCCCACACACATCAACAGTGGGACATCCCAAGTTGTAGAGACACAACTGAAATCTTCTCTGAAAAGCCCACCTTGATGGGCTCAAAATACACCCCTCATAATCTATCCAATTCTTATTTTTTACATCCAATACTGCAGCTCATACCTCCCTCGCTTCCAGAAGGTTTTATGATACCCACCTGCCCCTCTCCCAGATTATTTTTTCTACTCCATTTTAAATTCTTTCACATAGCTGGATCAAATCTCAGTCCCTTGGAACTCATCTACACAGCTAGATTCTTAGCCAAGTTGGGTTTTTTGTTTCCCATTGTCCTTGCATCCTTAGCTATGTATAAATAAAAGAAAGAAATTATCGAAGATCCGTTATAGTAATAAAAATGGATGCTAAGGACCAGATACATCTTTTACTTGAAAGCACAGGAAAAATAGTCCCTTGTGATGAGGTTTCAATTTACCACCCTTGACAACTTCAGAATTCTTAATACTTCCTGCTGAAGTTTGTAAAAAATACTGCATGTATTTTAAGTGTAGAATTTAAAATATTTACAGTTTTAGTGAAATTTTAAAAAAGTAACCAAAGCACTTGATTTACCTGATTTCCAGTAGTTCAATTATCCTTTTCGCCCTCCAATCCCCAGGATTCAAAGTGCTTATTTGTTACCTTAGATTTCAACAAAGAGTGTAATAACTGGCATAAACCAGTAAAATCTATTTTTCTTTCCACAAATAGTGTCTGTCAACAGGTAAGCTGTAAAAGATCTAGTGCTTTGGAACTTTGAATTGTTCATACAGGAAAAAAAAGCCATTCTTAGCACTGAAAAGGCCAGTGAAGAAAGTAAATGGAGTATTAACGTAATAGATGTAAAAGGAAGAGCAAGTTAGTTTTGAATAAATAGAAGAACCTGTTTTCACTTCTGAAGGCTTAGCACTGTTAAAACTTCCAGAAACAATCTTCACTGTGAATGGTATGTATTAGAGCTTTTTTTTTTTTTTCTGCTGGTATTAGAAAAAAAAATTATTCCTATCTTGGCACTGGGGAAAATGGTAGTGTTTCATTCTGGATTGCCTTTAGGGAGATCAGTTTTCTATTTGTTTTTGTTTTTTTTTAATGTTAGAAACTCACTGTTTATTCCTGCCTTTGCTTGCAGGTAATTTTGATTGGGTAGGAAATGCTTTTACGCAGAATGCTGGAGCTGGCCTTGTTATCAACCAAGCAGACGCGGGGAACAGCACAAGCATCATTAAGCAACTCAAGGCTGTTTTTGAAAGGGACTGGTATTCACATTATGCCAAAAGTTTACAACCAACAAAAATCCCAAACTGCTTTAACCACAAACTCAGTAAAGGAACTTCAAATAAGACTGCCATGAGCAATGTGAATTAGAAAGACTATTTTACCGTTTAGTATGGCAATGAAGAATCATGTTGGGGTGTAGCCTTCTTTCATATTTACAGACAAAAGACTTAAAGAAAAAAAGAAAAAAAAAGTTTGGTTTGGGGGGGATGTTTTTAGGAAAAAGCACACTTATATTAAATCTGTCTAACCTATATTCTCTATATGAATTATTTAAGACTTTCAAACTTATTACTTCTAACACTGAATGTCATTTCCACTTCCATGTGAATTTTAATGTTCCACATTTGAATTTATCAGCATGTGTCAGTGTTTCTGTTTTAGGACTTTCCCCAATTGCCAACCTGGTTAGAACAAACCTTGAGGCAAAATGAAGATTCAAGCTATGAAATGGCATTCTAAGATCAGTTATTATTGACATACAAATAGATGGTAGGTTTACTGTACTAGAAAATGTAAAGGAATGAGCAAAATTTCACCCATATAAATAATTCCCTTTAAATAACTACCCTGTCATAAAAATAATTCCTGGTTTTGAGCATTTACTTTGAGTATCACTATTCCATGTCTTTTAACTAGCCTTAAAATACATTGGAGTTACAGGACTGGTAATTCATTCATCTCCTAACAGTATGAGAATTTTTTGAGGGGTTGGCCTCATCAAGTTCGTCGTATTCCCTAAAGCCTCTCAGATTTTTTATCAAAGCACTGTGGATTCCTTTCAACAGAATAGTTATTTCCAATTTCATGCATTTCATCTAACAGTGAAAATCTCTGGGTTAATAGCTAAAACCTAGGACTGATTTTTTTATGTTTTTGTAATCCCAAGAAAATCTCTTCCCCAAGTCAAATACTTATCACATGTGAGTCAGCAGATATGTGATGACTCATTATTAAACCAATGCACATCTCAAAATCAAATACTGCTTTTTAGAAAGGCCAAGGGTTATGCAAAATCTTGCAGTAATTGCTGTTAAGTGATCATACAGTAATTTTGTTGATTTTTACACCTGAAGAATTTGTTTTCCTAACTTTTATTCTAAAAAAAAAAATAAAAATTTTTAAGTGACATTTTTTTGTTAAAATGTCATCCATATGGGTAAATACACCTGCATGGACAGAAAAGTGATGCCTTCATTTCAACCACAGTTTTAGTTGGTGTCAAAAGTGTGCCTCTACAATCGCAACTAAGTTGCACCAAGAAGCAAGTGTTCCATAAAAGTGTGAATTTGCTCTTTGAAGAAATACACATAAATGTTTGGCAACAGATTTTTCTCCAGTCAGAGATGTAATAACATAGTTTCATAATAAAAATAAGTTTCATAATAAAAAGGTTTCACTATTTTGCCTCTGCTTCCATTGAAGAAACACAGCCATGAAAAACATTCTGTGTTTTGTTAAATATTCACAGAACCTTTTCCACAGTGATGGCTTTTCATCTCCTGAAGGCGCACTTCAAAAGCAGAGGGCAAAAAGAGAAAGAAACCAAACCACATTCCAATGTATTAGTTTAATCTTAAAAAGAAATTATAAACCCACCTTGACTTTCAAAACATATCTTATAAGGTAAATGAATTCAAATTTATTTTACAGTGAGCACAGCTTAGGAAATTTTAATAAATTAACAGCTAGGTACCCCACAAGACTAATTATGACCCCCCAAAGGCACACTTTTGACAAAGAAATCTTTGTTTATTTTGCAATTGCAAAGATTTATATCATCTTACTGAAAATAATGATACATCAAAAAAACTTTTAAGATTGCCAACTTTTACAGAAACTGTTTTGCACAGCTCCAATAGTCAATAACATTTTCTGATATTCAGATAAACACATGCTATGTATTAGTCTCACACATACACATAGAAAAGGATATAACCTGACATACTGATAAGAAACACATATTTAAAAAGAAAAAGGTTTCCTGAGTTGCTATGAGGAAAGATCTTTATGAGGAGAAAATTCTGGATTTTCTTCCTTCTGTATTTAATTTAGAGTATGTATAGTATATATGGGAGAAAGATTATCAGTACTTAACTTATTTGCTGTGGAGATTTTGGTTTTTCTAAGAATAAGTATTAGTCCAGACTAATTTCTGGTGAAAATTTCAGCTGAGTTATACCACAAATAACTTCAGTTTTGTGAGCCAAAACCCCACAAAATGAACAAACAAAAAGCCACCACATTTTTAAAAGCTGGTTGAGATAGTTGTACAGTTTCTGAGGTCCCCAAGGATCACCCCATGGGTAATCTTAAAGTTTGAGATAATACCATGTCCTTATATAAAATACAAAATAATTCATGCAAACACAAAAAAATCCCCAAAACCCTGTCTGGAGTTGTTAACTGTAGCACCTAATGGCAATAATATACAGTAATTAATCAATGTAGTTTTTTTTTTCCCAGCTTGCATTATGGATACTGCAAACATGTTAAGTTTTTTAAATGACATCTTGTATAAATAATGGAGGATATCTGAGTAGGACACAAATTTGTCAGACGATAAAGCTAAGCTGTTTACAAAGCAGGATTTATTGATGAAATGGGACTGACAGTTGACTGATTTAGTATAACAGATGAATGGTAAAACAGTTTTACTGGACAGATCCTAGGAAAATGCAGATTATGAATAGTAACAAGATACATTAGTTTGCAAATATTTCCTTATTGGCTAGATAAACAGATTCTTGGTTTTTAATGACCCCCCCTCAAAGAACAGATACATAGAAGTATTTTTAAAAGTGGCAGTATATTTTGGTTTTATGAATGGAAGAATTTGGGTGGTTTTGAACAACTTGCAATGTGCAATACTGTCCAGCCAACCTATAAATGGAATGGCAGACTCAAATTTCATTTGGTATAAAGTATGGATCAATACTGTAATAACTGTTTAGAATGGCATCAGCTCCAAAGTAGTACATAAAGTCTTGATCTATTACATTAGCCAAGAGACAAAGTGCATCCTTGGACTTCAGCAAATAGGAAATTTAAAATACCAGATTATTTTTTGAAACTGTCTAAGGGGATTATTGCCAATTATTTGGCCTGGGCCAGTGCTGTTACTGTTTAACTAGATTTGCTAAAACAGCCTCAGTTTTGGCTTCAGATCCTTCTACCACTGTAATAAATTGGAAGCAAATCCATTACAGTGATTTCACACTAGTTTAGCAGGGATCAGAATCTAAACTAGTTTCCTCCTGCTTCCAATCTCCTGGGTATCACCACTGCACAGGCTACTTCCTAATTTAACAGTGATTTGCATTCAGGGGTTTCTCACAGACCTCACAGGCATAACCCAAAAGATGCACTTTCTCTAAGCCCTTCTTACTGGCATTGGTAACTCTGTCATATTAAAGGCAATTTCCTAAACTGAACAGTTTTATTCTTAAAGAATATAGATTGTAATTGTTGTTTGCTGCAAACATTTACTAGTGCCTTATTCATACAAGATTTTGTTTAACTGTTCCTCACATGAAATCCTGCTAAAGATCCTGTATCTAATAGTGAGGCATAGAGCAAACTTCCTAAGAAGACATTGTGATGTTTACAGTTTAGTACCTAAAACTAGAGTCACAAAAAGACAAAAACTGACTGAGATATGTTGGGCCATACCACAAGCACATCTAAACTGGAGCATTTTTATCCAATCACAGTTCAAGATCTAAATTTCACAATTTACTCTTGCCTTCATTATCAAATAATCTACAACATAGTTAAATTATTCTGTCCTGTCAAGGTATAAAATCCGAATTCCCCTAACATCTGGTTGCTATCAAAACCATAATCACAGAAATTCCTGTAAGCAGAGGTTGAAGCCACACAGTGGCTACTTTCCTGATCTTGCATATTAAGTCTCAAGTTGTTTTGGGCCTGCTACTTTTTCTGCCTGAAGCATGAACTGGTATTCACAACTATTCTCACCTCTTCTTTGAAGACCAGAAAGGCATGGATTATGTTCTACAGCACAATAGCTATAGCTGTACCCTAACAGGAACAGATATAGATTTTTCCCAATACAGGGCCAGGCATTCCTCCCAGTAAATCCAGGCTGTGCTGGTGGTTCAGAAGAGAGATTGAGAAACAAGTAGAAAAGCCTCCAAATTTTTATTTGCTAGATTACCAGCAACCTAAATTCTACTACTTTGTTGAGATTTGCACATGTAAAAAAATGAACAAATAAATTCTGTTACCTGCCAGTTAAGCCTAATCTAAGAAAAAATCCAGAAAATTTATAGGGTTTTTTGTAACTTTAGTGTGTACTTACTGGAAAGAGTGTATGCACTCTCATCAAGATGGTAAAGACATCAGCTGGCTATTCCAGTTCTTCAATCTGAAGTTCTAAATATCTCGGTCTCAGATAATTATACACTTGACTCCTGAGAATGGCCTTGTAGAGTGCACTAAGTTATCTTAAAACCTTTCTGGTCTTCGAAATTAACTCTTCATTTTAATACAAATATATTGACTAAATGTTTAGTATGTTTCCAGATGGTAATTTCTGGTGCTGTGTTTCTCTTCCACTCTTACTCTTTCTCTGTCTACAGCTATTATATATTCATGGTTTTTCAGTCATCATTATTCCAATGCAATCTATGTAAAGAAACCAGAATGAATCCTTGGTGTGCTTAAAATTCACAATGATGCCTCCCAAATTGAAGGTACCAGTGAACATGCTCCACTTCTAACACTGCAAAGTATAGCAGCTCAACTGATACTGTAGGAGATTGCTTTTCTTAGCTGTTTTTCACTTTAATTACCGCTGGATGTTATTTATGAATTTCTGAGTATTGAATCAGGTTGCTCTTGGATCATCACTGCACAAATGCCTTAGAAGCTTGCCAAACTAGCATGTAAAAGAGACCTCATTCAAAATAGTTTAGACAAGAAAAGAACTCATATGCTTTACGCTCTGAAGGGTGCTGAAGTCAATGGATAAACTCCAGTCCTATATAATAAAGTGGAGCTCTCTATTGTACCTCCTGTTTAGATTAACCTTGCATAGGCTTCCAAAAAAAGTCTGTGAGAATTGT